TCCCTTGACCTGCTGGCCACACTCTTCCCTACGCAGCCCAGGATTCCGTTGGCCTTCCTGGCCACAAGAGCACACTGCTTGCTCGTTGTCATTTTGTTGTCCACCAGGACCCCCAGATCCTTTTCTTCAGAGCTTGTCTCCAGCAGGTCCACCCCTAACCTGTATTGGTGCCTGACATTCTTCTTCCCCAGGTGCAGGATCCTGCACTTTTCCTTGTTGAACCTCATGAGGAGGAGCCATTGTCTGTCCAAACGACATCTGCAGGCATCAGGTCCTCACTCCTTGTTCTGGCTGCGATACGGCATTGCCAGAAGAAAGGGAGAAGTGTTGGCCCAGGGCTTTGACAACCTCTCAGCAGGTTCTTTCAGCCTCCGGCCAGCCTGCTCTGTCACACAGCACCTCTGCCTGCTTCTTCCGACGCCAGAAAACCCAAACTCTGCTCCTCCTGCCTCCCCACCCCCAGATTTCCAGATTGCCAGCTTCCCCTTCTCTGCTGTTTGGCTCTTCACAGAACTGGGACTGGAGTGAATCGTAGGAAGCGGTGAATGAACCACAGGCTGGCTGACATAGATCATAGAATCATTCAGGTTGGAAGAGACCCTTGGGATCATCGAGTCCAACCATCTACCCTACTCTACAAAGTCCTCCCCTACACCATGTCCCTTAGCACTGCATCTAAACAGCCCTTAAACACAGCCAGGGATGGGGACTCAACATCTCTGCACACAGCCTGGCACTCTGCTCACAGGAATCACACCCCAGCGCTGAGCATCCCACAAAAACCATCCAAATACTGAGCTGTGGACTGTTTACGCTTGGGTGAATTTCACCTTAATGCCCGTGGTCTGCTGCTTTGTAGCTGGTCGTGTCCATATCTTACTTTTCCTCATTTATCCCCAGACTTGAGAACTTGCTTCCAAGTTTCTGATGTCTCACTCGTTATATTATTCAGAATAAAATAGCCCCCCAGGCAGGAGCTCACTGCTGGTCACACTGGAGCAGGTAGAGAGTAGTCAGAAGCTCCAGTTGAGTGGTGGGTGAAAATGGGAGATCAGAGTTGGGGCTCCTGATGGGGTTTGTGGTCGTGGCAAAAAGCTGCTCCTTTGTCTGTCCTTGTCCCTTTGGAGCTGAGCAGCTCGGTGCAGGTCGGGGCCTCGTAGGTTGGATCTTGCGGGATAAGAAAGTGATGATGGAAGCAGGTTTTTGCCGTCCTATTTACAAAATCCTCTTGTCCCGGAGCTGGAAAGGAGCAGCGGGAAACCATTCCTTGGCTGGCAGCTTCCAGCCTCCTCCAGTGAACACCCAGCCCCGAAGCTGGTGTTCCCAGCTTCTCCCCAGCGCCGCTGCCAGGGCACTGCCAACGCTGCCCTGGGCACAGCCCGTGCTTTCTTACCTTCTCCTCTTCCTCCTTCTCTCATCTCTATGCAAATCTTCACACGAGCAGGAGGCAGCGCAGCCCATGGGGCAGCCTCGCAGGTAGCTTTGGATTTGGGTAGCGCCGTGCCAGCCTTTAATGTGGAGGCCTCTATTAGATTAATTGCCCTTTATACAGAAACGGAGCCCTTCCGCTCCTCCGACCGATTATCCTCACTGAAAGAGAGCGATGAATGGGGCTTCACTGGGATTGTGGTGGGCTGGTGGGGTTTTAATGGGAAAGGGAAAGAGAGAAAGGAAAGGAGGAATGGAAAAGAAAGGAAAAAGAAAAAAAAAAAAAAGATAAACCCATCCTCTCTGCTGTTGGAGAACTTTCTCAAAGTCTCCACCGTGGTTAGGACTCTACTCCAGGCACCCTCTATCAAGTAAGGTGTTTAAATCGGGATTTTTTATGCTCCCTGAGCCCCATCCAGCCTTTGTTTATGTCCCCGCCGGGGCAAACGCCGGGAAATTACCTTCGCTGGCAGCTTTGCTTTGAGAGCCAGGTCGTTTTTAGGGAGCTGCGTTGCCGGCGGACCCTCCCCGTTCGTTTTTAGCCCTCGCCGGGGGCTCCATCGCCCCGGTCGGACGGTGTGAGCTCCGTGCCCGTCCCGGGGGCCGCCCCGTCGGGGCTCCGGCGCTCACCGGGAACCGGGACGGGGGGGGGCTGCTCTTCCCGGGGCTTCTCGGGGCTCTCCGTCCCGGTGGGGCGGGCCGGCTCCATCCTTCCCTCCCTCCTTCCTCCCTCCCTCTCTCCTTTCTCCTCCTCTCCCTTCTTCCCCCCCCCCCAAACCTCCGCCCCGATTGTGCAATAGCGAGCGGCGGGGCCGGCGGCACCGCCCGGAGCCCGGCACCGGGAGGAGGGAGGGAGGGAGGCGGCAGGCTCCCGGCACCGGGAGGAGGGAGGGAAGGAGGAAAGGAAGGAGGGAAGGAGGGAAGCAGGCTCCCGGCACCGGGAGGAGGGAAGCTCCCGGCTCCCCCGGGCCCCGAGGATGCGGCAGCCGCCGGGCACCGCGGGGCTGTAGCCCCGGACCCCATGGGATGTGCCCGCCGTCGCCTGGGTGGTGAGTACCCTTGGCTTTGTGTGTGTGTGTGTGTCCCACGTTGGGAGAGATGAGGGGTGATGGGTTGACCCCCTCCTCCCCTCCCCCCCCCCCCCCCCAACCAACGCCCCGGGTGATTGATGGATGGCCGGGAGGATGAGAATATTGCCACGGGCAGAAATCAGTTGCAGATGAGGAGGACTTTCGGGGGGATGGGGGGGGGGGATCTGCTGTGCAATCGTTAAACTATTTCCACCGCCGCTTTTAGCTCGAATTAAATAAAAGAATAGGAGCTGGGGAGCCGCGCTCTATCGGTTGCACATCTGTGGTACAGAGTCCTTCCCGTCTCTTTCGGGTTCCCAACAAAAGTGCCGAGGAAAAAAAAAGGGGGAATGTTGAGTATATCGATGAACCGCGGCGCCGGAGGATGGGGGGTAGTAGTTGGGGTATCGTAAAGGAAGGAAATTTTCCTGACGGCGAGGCAGTAAACTTTTGTTACTTGAAAAGTTTGCACTAGGGATGAATTTACATCCTTGTATCCTTGCAAAGACTTTTTGTGCTTACTGGAATATTACAAAAGCTTATATCCGATATATCTCTACCTGTTTCTCGACTTGTAACATAGTATTTCAGTTTGTCTAAGTATTTGCAGCAATTTTTATTTGTTATGTACAATAATCTCTGCGTTTTATGCACAGTGGGGATTTCTTTTTTTTCTTGAAGAGATGTTCTGGGGACAGAACATGCTTTAGCCCGTTTTCAGGCTGTGTTAAAGTTGATCAGGACAATCCCTTATTGCCCACTCACATTTCTCTTACGAGAAACTTACGCTCTGCTCCGCAGTCTAACTTTTATGTACAGGATTAACCCCATCAATTCAAAATTCAGCCCGTGCAAAGTGTTTGTGGAGTCAGGGCACCGTAGCTTTGCCATGCGGATTTGGGTTTTTTTTTTTTGGAAAAATCTGCACCCTGTTGAAAGGAGTGGAAAGATCCTACTGATACGGCGAGGCTCAGATTTTTCCCTTGTATTTTTAGCCTAAGAACTTAATGTCCTCTTTGCAATGTCCAACCAGCCAAAAAATCAGCCGTATACAATGGGCACTTTTGCTTTTCAAAGGCAGTCTCCCATCTCAAAAGAGGCAGCTCGCCTCAAATTTGCAAACCGCAGGATGGGAAATGGAATTTGCCTTCAGTATAAAAATCCCAAAGTGTTTGCAAACAGCCCTGAGAAGAATCCGGGCTCTTGGCTTGACCTCTCTCCGCGCTGAATTCCAGCTTGGGGAGTTTGCGGTCTTGCTTAAAAAAAAAAAAAAAAAAAAAAAAAAAAGGGGTGAACGAGCAAAGTCTTCCTGAGTGCCCGGTCGTCTTTCCGGAGCGAGGAAAAACACAGTCAAGCTGGAGGGGATTTTGGGTGCCCAGGAAGCGCGGGATTGGGCCCTGAGCCAAACTGCTTTTAAAGTAGCCTTGAAGACCTGCCCGTGCTGGAGTGGCTTCGCTGGCGGCGTGTGTTGGCGTTGCCGAGGTGGTGTTGGGCTGGTGCAGTCCTGGGAAACCTGCCCGAGAAGCAGAGGAAACTCCCGGGCAGTTATTCCTGCCCCAGCTCTGTGCTTCTCCCATTAAAGTCTTCACGATGCCTCTGCCGGCTCCCGGAGCCGAGCTGCGGTGACTGGGGGGCAGGCAGAGCCGGGGATTTGCTCCATCCTAGGGCTTTGCTCCTCGTTTTTTGGAAATCTGCTGTTAAAAAAACCCAACCTCCTCCTCGCCCAGCCTCGGAGATCCCCTGTGATAAAGCCAAGACCGGAGTGCGGCGGGTCCAGCAGGGTGTAGGGCAAAGAAAATTCTCAGCAGCTCGAATCAAACTCTTAAAAAACCTGAATGGCTGATAAAATCGTGCTTTTGGGGGAGGACCGGAGTGGGAATGAGGGGTGGCCTGTCCCTCCACACCTCCCGTTAGCCCTGGTGGGAGCTGTGCTTGCCGTTCCCCAGAGCTTTGTTGCTCGCACAGCGCTGTTTAGGGAGGGAGCCACACGGGGTAGGGGGGGCCAGGGCTTTCCTGGGTGTAATTAGCTCCGAACGGAGCAACCCAACACTCCTTCCTACCAGTTGTGGAGCTGGGCTACCCCCATTCCGGCCACTATTTCAGTCCTTTGGAGTTGAGCTTTGGAAACGGTGTCAGGATCAGACCCTCGCTTTGGTCACGCTCTCGGACCTCCTCACCTCCTCCTTCTTTGATAACAGAGCTCGGATGGCTTGTCCAGAGAGGGGGAAAGACCAGCATTAGGTTCACAGTTTGATTTCTCCGTGGTTACTGGGCCCAATCCTGCAGTTTTAGGAGGGACTGTCTAAATGTCAAGTGTGAGGTCAGCCCCCAGCGCGTCTGGTAGCAATTGAAAATAGCAACCGAGCTCTTACATTACCCCCAAAAGCCTCTGGCCCCGCCGTGCCACATGTTTTTATGCTTCGGTATTGGAGATATTGCAGTCAGTGAATAACACAGACCTTGGGTTTTACGTCGTCGAAACTCAGCAGGCTGGTGCAGTACAGCAGAGATTAAAAAAGAGGGCAAAACAGCACCCAAGTTGACTGGATTTCTGCTGTCGTGGCCAGGATATGGCCCCAGCGGGTGTAAAAGGGAGAAGGGAGGTGGCAGGAAAGATCCCGGAAGATCCACAGCTTGAGCCACAAACTCCTTTCTCTTCCCCTCTTCCCACCTCTTGCTCCAGCAGCTGGGAACCTGATCCTGCGAGCGCAGCCCCGCCGCGGAGGACACGGCTTGATTTTATATGCAAGTTTGGTGATGAATGACCGGGCGAGCAGAGAGCCAGCCCGGTTGGCATCTGAGACACCTCCCATCTCTAACTGCAGGATGGCCTTAACCCGGCGTGTGAGCTAAATTAAATTAAAAAAAACAAAAACAAAACAAAACAAAAAAACCCAAAACCACCATAATCCCGGTGGCCACTCTGTACCAGAACTGGTTTTATCTGGTTCCAGTTATGCTTGTTTTGAGTAAGACCGAGCGGTGCCAGATTCTGATCTCATTTGCACCAGTGGAGTCATTCGGAGGAGCCGGTCCCAGTTTACCTCACTCTTAAGTGAAAGCAGAACTGGCCCTGCTGGGAGAAGGGCTCCCCGGGGAGGTCCCAACACGGGGAAAAGGGGACAGCTCTTGGGACCCTTCCCAGAGGAGCTCCAGGATTTACCACCAGCCCCAGGAAAAAAGCTGTTTTCACCGAAAAAGGAAGGGAAGAGGCTGAGATGGTGTGATTGTGCATGTGGGGGTGAGCCAGGTGTTTTGGGGAGATGCCCATAGTGGTCAGGGGTGTCCATTGGTGATGCTGGGGAGGAGATAAAACCATCCCCTTTCCACTCTGGGTGGGAAACTGGTGCTTGCAGGGGTCAGAGAGGGCTTTAGGGAGCGCAGCCCAGCTGGAGGGCAGCACGTGGAGGGTTTTGAAAGGGGTTTTGGATCCACGGTCCAGGTTTGGACACCTCTGGTCCTCCTGCGTGGCCAAAGCCCCAGCAGATCGCCTCTGGGCTGGGTGGCTGCTGTGATGCTGGGGAGGAGATAAAACCATCCCCTTTCCACTCTGGGTGGGAAACTGGTGCTTGCAGGGGTCAGAGAGGGCTTTAGGGAGCGCAGCCCAGCTGGAGGGCAGCACGTGGAGGGTTTTGAAAGGGGTTTTGGATCCACGGTCCAGGTTTGGACACCTCTGGTCCTCCTGCGTGGCCAAAGCCCCAGCAGATCCCCTCTGGGCTGGGTGGCTGCTCTGCAGCAGGGCAGGGAGCGTGTGGGAAACACCAGCTCCGGGGGGAAGGAGGAGGGAGTCGAGCCCTTGTTCAGGTCCCGACACGCGAGCGGGGCCTCTGGCTGCAACGCTGCCAGCAGCTGTGTGTGGAAATGCCTATTTTTCATATTATCTGCGAGGCACGCCGATACCACCGACCGCTGGGGACTGTTCTAGCCACAGCGTGTCGTGGACTAGTCCTTCCTTGGCCAGGGTCTCAGATAAAACCCCCACATGCTCTCCCTTGCCCCAGTTCACCCAGTTCACCCCAGTCCCGCTGCTCCCCAAAACCTCCTGCTGCTGGGGGCTGGTACCAGGCTTGTTTTCCAGGTCCCCAGCACAGCGGGTCCTCACTCCCATCCCGTTCCCCTGCTCCTCTTAGGGGCTATGAAGCCCCTTGTTTGAGCAGGTGGGACCAGGAGATATTCCTGTGCTTCAGGCTGATGCATTTTCCTGGCTGTGATTGTTCTTAACGCTGAAGGAATTGAGCAATTGAAATAAATTACCAGCAACTGTTTATATTACTCTTGCCTCCTCCACAGGCCATTAGTGTGTCCCTTTTCCAGCAGAGCTCCTTTAGGACCCCATTCTGAGCCTATCTAGGTCCATAGGTAGCTTTCCAATGACTTTTGTAGGTAAAGAAGCTTGGATTTTTTTTCCCAGCTGCATAAAATGAGTTTCTCCAGTGCTCAGGGCACGGTGGAGAAGCCAGATTTAAACTCCCAATGTACCAAAGTCTTTTGAAATTCTGGCCAAAGTCGGGGGGGGGGGAGAGAGAGGGCTTTAAAAATTCTGCCCTGCTTTTCTCTGTTCCTGCTTTATTCCTGTGAATCGCCCAACCGTGCTCGGGTGGAAATTAATACGTTACGGAAAGGGAAGCTCGAACATGTCCTGCTTTGGAAAGGAGCAGGGACGGCTGGATCCACAGTGAGCAGTGCCACAGCTTTTGCTCCATTATCTAAAACTTTTTAGGATTGATTCTTGTGCCTGTTAAACACCAAATGGGAGTTGCTTTTTTATTTTCTTTGTAATTTCTTCCCTGATTTTGTAGCTCGGCAAAGGCAGGGTGAAGCTCTCAGCCAGAAGAGACTTCTGAGCTCGGTTAAGCGCTCATCTCTCTTGCTGTCCTAAAGAATTACCTCTGGATGTAGTTCTCTTCCCTCTCCTCTGGTTAATGAATTGATCAGATTAATTTGGGCTACTGCAGCCCAGCTGCAGAGTCCTCTAACGA